AAATAGTAGAATTGGTCCATATAATTCACTGCTTACTGCTATACAAGGATCTGCATTAGGTGTGTCAATCAATCCCCAATTAGCTCAGTATGATTGACGAGTTGATATCTAAGATTTTCTATTTACTTCAAGACATCTTACCAATAAGACAATCACTGCATAATTAGGCGTAAATCATTTGTTGCCAGACATTTGCCCATTGAAGTAATTTCATCAAATCATGCAAATAGCATTGTAGCTTTTGTGCCGGATGTATCTTAACTATATATAATTAAATAATCAAATCAGAGCTGTGAATGTATGATAACGGATAGTCATTTGAACCAGATTCAATGCATCATAAAATTTTCCAATAAAGTTATCAAGGCATTCTATCCAAACAAACTACTTGATCGTACATATCTTATTTATCTAACAAAGGCTCTAGGCAAATAAACGCTTTGGCAGTATATATATATATATATATATAAAAGAAAGACGACTATCTATACAAATCTTTTTCTTTTTTTTTGCAAACATATAAAGGCAGTATAAAGCCTATTTATGTGTGCATAAATACTTTAGATACCTACAAAAAGTGTTTAGCAATAGTATACACGGTGCCTTTGGAGTTGATTTGGACTAAAAAAGCGATTTGTAAAATTTGACCAAAACGACCTTTTAACTAAAAGGCATTACTTATAAAAATTGCTCCTTTGGCAATTTTTGTTTTTCTTTTGATACTTAAACACGAAAAATAGAGCTATCAACAAAATGTGCGCAAGGCACTATGGTTTCTGACTAAAGTGTTTGTCTGCCAACTACACTATAAAAACAGTAAGATATGAACAAAAAAAATCTCAAAAACGTTGTTTTTCATGTCGGCGCAATAATTCACCAGCAATAATGTTATGTTCTTTACATCAATAGGCTCAGAAAGCAAAGATCCATAACTTTTTCTATTGCACTAAAGCTCAATTTTTTTTATGTAGCGAAGTGAACAATTGGATTTATATCGCCATAGGAAAAAATGAAGTGATTTGGGATAGAAACGAATGTATAGAGGCTCATCTGGTACTCAAATAAAATACATAGCAGGTAGTATTGAGTGAGTTTGTTAGGAGACAATCTACAAATCTCTGAAAGACAAAGAGCTTGGCCAAGGACACTTTTGCATTCTCTAAAGCCACCTCGAGCAGTGTCTAAGGACGGTGCTTGGACTTGTAGAAGTTTCTTGATGCATTTTTCGAGCGCTTTTGGAAGTAGTAGATAGAATAATTAGGTAGTAATTGACTGGGTCAGTCGGTTTGCCTTTCTCATGAATTGGGACTACCTGTGCGGCTCGTCAACAGTGAGGCGTGTATGGCCAACGCCAGCACAGATAAAAAATATGGAGAACCAGGGGACCACTAAAGCTTGTAATATTTGTACAAAAATTAAAGCTAGGGCCATAAAAATATTACTGTGACAACCATAGATGTCAGGAACTTCTCATGAGTGTAACGGATTTATTTTATTTTTTTTTATTTTTTTTATTTTTTTTTATTTTTTTTTATTTTTTTTATTTTTTTTATTTTTTTTATTTTTTTTATTTTTTTTTATTTTTTTTTATTTTTTTTTATTTTTTTTTTATTTTTTTTTATTTTTTTTTATTTTTTTTTATTTTTTTTTATTTTTTTTTTATTTTTATTATTTTTTATTATTTTTATTTTTTATTTTTTTGTAAATTGAGTTTTTATTAACTTGTTTAGTCACACATACTCGTAGATATTTGTTTTTTGCTATGAAAAAGTGAAAGGTAGAATATAATAAAATTAAATTTAATCGGGAATCCCATTCGTAAGAATGTGGATTTGTCGATTGATAGTTGTGAGAATTGTATTGGCAGTAAAAGGTATGTTGTGGAGAATGAGTTGCCAGTAAGCTCTCCAGATGTAAAATCGCGTAGTGGAAACGATTACCAAAGATCGATAGAGGCTATATTTCTGATGGAAGGGAGACTTGATAGAGAGCAATGCATTTAGAATATCACGATTGGAGAACAGATAAGTAGGGAAATGGTATTGGAGTACCATGGACCAAATAGAGTTCTTGTTTGGACAAGAAACAAGAAAGTGTTCAAAGTCTTCGCTTGTCGAGTTACACAGCCTACAGAGAGTACTGGGTACAGTTCCAATCTAATAAAGATATGTGGCGGTGGGCAGTTACCGGGAAATTACCCTGTAACAGTGGTTTCGAGCAGGGAGTGAGATGGGGAGCGACCAAAAAGTCTTGATATCTTTTGTTGGAATAGAAGAGAATAAAGATATTGTCCAATTAATTTTCAAATTGCGAAAGTTTTGAGAGGTATAACTGTACCAGTGTTGATTGTGTTGAAGTTGATTAACCAGAGTAGTAATGTGGGGTACAAGTTGGGTTTCTTCATCAACGTTGGTAACAATATGATCAAAAAGATACGGTTGTAATTGCACTGTTCGTAGTTCCAAGATTTCTCTTTTCAGCCTTCGGCACAGCGATGGCTTGTGGGTATATTCAGTTTCAACTTGTATTCGTAGACGACGAAGCCGAGAGTCATAGATGAAGAAATTGCTTGCGAAGAATTTTTTATGCTTGTTCAACCAGTGATTAGTTGTGTTGTGAACATATAGAATCTATATGCATATGATGATCTGAACATTAAATAAGTCTTCAATTACATACTAAAAATATATCATAATCAATTTACATCAGAAACAGGCATAAAAGAACCTCTTGTACTGAATAAGACAAAGTATCTTTTAATAGATCAAGACTTATAACCGAAATCCATAATTTACATTATTTAATTAATTTAAAGTAGTCTATGATAATAGAGACTCAGTCATTTGCATGAATTCTACTACTACTTACTCCGACGTCTCTTCATGTATAAATACCTAGAGAATGAAGAGCTAAAAAGGGATACATATATATTTTTTGGATAATAAACCTATACAAGTTCTAATCGACTTCTTTGTTTTTATCTTCTCTCTTACATCACAACAAGTTGGATAAGACTTTAACAAGTAATGAAGCGGCAGTTGTAGCAAAGTGGCCACCGAACAGCCCGAGAAATCAAATTTGATACCAAAGTGATCAAAAGCTTGGTAGCACGCATTGACAATGGAAGTGGGATGGTTTAGAGGATGGGTGCGCCATTCTGGAACAAAAAAGGATAATTCGGGAGGCTTAGGGTTTGGGGTAATAAGACTCATATAGTGTTTGAACAGAGGTCGAACAAGTGACGAAGGACTAGTTGAACGAAATACAAGGTGAAGATGTCTTACTTGCAATACCAGATGCTGTGTTGCTGGTTGTAATAAACCAACCCCGCCTTGAGAGAGAGGAAAACTCAATTGTAAAAAGGATACCAGAGGTCGTTTGTTTTGCCAAACGTACTTATAAATGGTACTCTTGAGGTTCTGTAGAAAGGCTTGTGTTGGGTTTAATAATCTTAGTGCATACCATATCTTGGTCATAATCAACGTATTGGTGACTGTCGCCCGGCCTCGTAAGGATAAATGCCTTGATGAATACAACTTAACCTGTTCCTTCACCTCATGAAGTAGTTTGTCTTGGATAACATTTCTTTGTTGAATGGTGTAGACCATGTAAAACCCTAGATAACAAAATGGTTCAACAGAAAATTTTGTGTGGTATGTTGAGATCCTATGGTGGAGAAGATAACGTTCCCAGTCAGCATCCTTGTTTCCATTGAGTGAAAATGCTTCTGTTTTGGCTTGGTTGAACTTCGCATTAGACACATTTGCGTACTGTGTGAGGTGATACTGCAACCTGGTGAAATCATCTTGTGTCTTTACTACGACACAGACATCATCTGCGTAAGCAATAGTTTTGACGAACAGAGAATTCCCATCAAATTCGTATGCATATCCGATAAACTCACGATCCTGTTGTATGGAAAGTAGAAGGGGTTCCAAAGCCAGGTTGAACAAGAGAGGAGACAGAGGATCACCCTGACGTAGGCCCCGTTGTTGGAAGACTGTCTGGGTAAAGTAACATTGACGTCAACTTAAATTAGATTGCCAAAGAAGAAATTGTGCACATATCTAATAAATTGGCGGCAAAAACCAAAACATTCCATAACTTTCATTAAGTAATATGGGTTTACTCGGTCATATGCCTTTTCTTGATCAAGTAGCATGCCTATACCTGGATATTGACGGTGGCGGGCTTGATGAAGCAGTAGATGTAAAAGCAGTCCATTTTCGCCTATAAACCGACCTTTCATAAATCCTGCCTGTGAGCACTGAACGATATGGGAGGTGATGGTGTTCAAACGAGAATTTATTACCCGGGAAAGTATTTTCGCATCATAGTTGATTAGCGAGATCGGTCTCCAGTTCTTTAATTCAGATAGATCCCCCTTTTTTTTTGGCAATAGTCGGACTCTAATATCCTTCCAAGAAGCTGGTGTACAATTGGTGGTCAAAGCACTGTTGTATACCTCTAAAATTAAAGGATGTAGAATTGGCATTTGGAACAGGATCCGAAGAAATTGATATCCCAAACCATCTACGCCCGGACTACTCTGTTTCGGACAACGTTTAACTTGGTCCAACAAATCTTCAATGGTGATGGGTGTCATTAGGTGATCGTTTTGATCATTCCTCACCGTTTTATCGAAATTCACAGAAGCTAGGTATTGATCTATCTCGCTGTCGGCGACTTGGTCTAGAGTGTATAGCTGTTGGTAGTATTCTCTTACTACTTCACGCATATCGATGGGATCCGAAGTTCATTCTACTAGTATCTCAGTTTCAACAGTAACGGTATTAGTGCCATGAGGTGTAGGTCTCTGGACAGACGCCATATACTGCTGTGCTGACCGTCGTTTGTATAGGTTCTTCAAATATTCAGCATCCTTTTCCCCTCTTTCTCGCCATCTAATACCAGCCTTAAGCCGTTCTATCTCCACTAGTTCTTCTTGCAATTGACCCAACTTGGCATCGATAGGTCCAATTAACTGGTATCTTAAAGCAGGTGTCGGCTTTCCTCTCAAAATCTTGTTACGCTTCTTTTCTAATTGTGTAATCGTTTTCTTCCTCCAGTTCACATATTCATAACTGTAGTTTTTAATTACTTTCTTGGTAGTAGCTTTCACTCGATCCCATTTTTCTGCCGGTGAAAGTGAGGGTTCAAACTGTCAAAAATAGTGTAGTAAATTGAATACTTTCTTATGAATTTGTTGTTGTAACTCACGATGATTCGAGTAGGCGGGGTTTGCTCTCCACAATCCAGGTCCCGTTGGTGATTGTCCCACAACCAATGTCATATCTAGTATCGAATGATCTGACCATGCTGCCTTCAGACGAGTGATGCTAGTGTCTTTCAACTGGGGCTGCAAAAATTGTCCCAAATATATATAATCGATCACTGAAGTCACTATCGATTGCTGTTGTGTTCTTTGGAAGGTTGGTACTTCGGTTAAATCATTCATATGCATTGCATTCGAAAAGTGGACATCTAACAAATTAAGCCATGCTGACGATGTCGCGCTAGTAAGGCTTTGTGGTCGTAGCAGAGAATAGTTGAAGTCCCCAGATATGATCAGACGATTGAAATCGATTCAATCTTGTTGATCATAGAGCATGGTGGTCAACCTATCGAAAAATTCTCGTCGTGTTGATCTCAATTGTGCGGGAGCATATATGTTCAGTATATAGAAGGTGTCAAAGAATTGTTGAGGATGATCAATCCGACATAGTTGAAAGCGATCATCATTATAAACATGGTCTGTGTTAATGAGTGTAATTTTAAAATTTGTTGATAAAGAGACAATACCGACATGTTTAGTCCAATGTGAATACTGTGGTTGAAAATGAATGTTTAAGGATTGAATAAGGTCAGGTGTTCGAGCTTGAGTCTCTTGGAAGCATATAGTATCATATTTTCTGTTCGATTTCAGAAATCGTATATAGTTGGATTGAGTCTCAGGTGATCCGGATTTAACCAGACTGTTGGCATTGAGTGAAGCATAGTGGCATATAATATCTTTCGACATATTCATTTAATTATTGATTGGTTTGGTTGACCTCCTTGAAGAGGCCATCATCCTTCTGGGTGCGAGTTGATCGACGGGGATGAATACTGGGTGAGTTTGACTGCTGTTCAACATGGACATGATTGTTGTACCATGTAATCAATGCTTCTGCTCGTGCAGCTTCTTTGGTGAGACGCCATCCTCTAATAGATAAGTTACCATCATTTCCTTTGGCTTGGAAAGGGGTAATTTCATTAGCTGCTTGCACTTTCGCGAAAGCCTGTTCAATTTGGGCAGGAGTATACCCTTCTAGAGTGTCAACATAGGTTTGGATTTCCTCCAAATATCGAAGGTCATTTTTGTCATCAGTACATTACACTCTGTCATCCATGTGCATGTCCTCTTCGTTTGGATCCTCTTTCTCTGAGTGTTCTTTCTCTGGAGTATTATTCATTGCAGTGACATGAGGTTGGTCTTCCTTAGGTGCTGGGGACTCGGCTGACTGCGCACGGTTGGTGATCTTACGTTCAAAAGACTTGCCTGTTTTTCTGTCCTGTTTCTTGTTTGGGATGTTTGTCGAATTCTTTCGGGAACATTCGTAAGATCGGTGTCCTTGTTCATGGCAGGAGTAACATAAAATGCGAGCTCTAGAAGTTTCACAAGTAAATTTGGTGTGACCATCTTGATGGCAATATCGGCACCACATTGGCATGTTGTTACAAGTGGCTCGGAAGACTTCAGTACTTGATTCCATCCAACTAATCTGGTGACTTAGCTGTTGAAACCTCATGGATGGAGGAGTATTCTCGGGCTGATATACGTCAAGTACTGCATATCCGCTACCCATAAAAAACCCGGTTTTCTTCTCGGTGGTAATTCCAATATCTAAGATGGTTCCAAAAATTGCTAAACTAGTATTAAGCCCACTGAGTACCTCTTCTGAAGTAAACATAGGCAAATGAGAGAGCTTTAACCTAATGACCTGTGATTGGTCGGTAATCGCTTTGCAAGAAAGTACTTGCAGCTTTGCTTCATTGAAATTGATACCAGTTCGAGCGATGTCATTTACGTCGTTGGCATCAGTCACGTAAACTTCGAAGCAACGAATTACTCCATCACTAAGAGCCATACAAGCGTGTACTTTGGGGTGTTGTTTCTTTAACTCGACCATACACTGTTGATCAGTATACTGTTTTTTACATTCAGTAACATTGAAAAGGTATGCTCCGTCTGAGCGAGAGGAGCGATAAATTCAGGTTTGCAAAATACGAGTAATATCATCATTCACTTCTAGGTGAGGAGTGATATCGTTGTGGATGAGGGACACGTTTTTAAGACGTGCCGCTTCAGCATATGTTTTATGCCTTGTTTTTGGTACGGAAGAAAGCATGCGATGTAACGGATTTACAGAAAAGTATGTGTATTTTAAAATTTCGACAAAATTTATGCCGACTTACAGGTATGCCGACTTACAGGTATGCCACTTGTGTACTCAAAAAAATATTTTTTAGAAAAAATAGGAGCCACTACTTTAAAATAAATCAAAAATATTTTCTATAATGAAAGAACAAAGAAAAAGTAAAAAAAAAAAAAAAAAAAAAAAAAAAAAAAAAAAAAAAAGTAAAAAATTCTTAATTTTCTGTTTTAAATTAATAAAAAAAGCTTGTTTTTCAATTTTTTTGTTTTAAATAAATAAACGAGTCTACCAACTAGTAATATCTCTTTTAAACTAAAAAAGCAAAATCAGCACCTGGTAGACTCGTTTATTTATTTAAAACAAAAAAATTGAAAAACAAGCTTTTTTTATTAATTTAAAACAGAAAATTAAGAATTTTTTACTTTTTTTTTTTTTTTTTACTTTTTCTTTGTTCTTTCATTATAGAAAATATTTTTGATTTATTTTAAAGTAGTGGCTCCTATTTTTTCTAAAAAATATTTTTTTGAGTACACAAGTGGCATACCTGTAAGTCGGCATACCTGTAAGTCGGCATACCTGTAAGTCGGCATACCTGTAAGTCGGCATACCTGTAAGTCGGCATAAATTTTGTCGAAATTTTAAAATACACATACTTTTCTGTAAATCCGTTACATTCATGAGAAGTTCCTGACATCTATGGTTGTCACAGTAATATTTTTATGGCCCTAGCTTTAATTTTTGTACAAATATTACAAGCTTTAGTGGTCCCCTGGTTCTCCATATTTTTTATCTGTGCTGGCGTTGGCCATACACGCCTCACTGTTGACGAGCCGCACAGGTAGTCCCAATTCATGAGAAAGGCAAACCGACTGACCCAGTCAATTACTACCTAATTATTCTATCTACTACTTCCAAAAGCGCTCGAAAAATGCATCAAGAAACTTCTACAAGTCCAAGCACCGTCCTTAGACACTGCTCGAGGTGGCTTTAGAGAATGCAAAAGTGTCCTTGGCCAAGCTCTTTGTCTTTCAGAGATTTGTAGATTGTCTCCTAACAAACTCACTCAATACTACCTGCTATGTATTTTATTTGAGTACCAGATGAGCCTCTATACATTCGTTTCTATCCCAAATCACTTCATTTTTTCCTATGGCGATATAAATCCAATTGTTCACTTCGCTACATAAAAAAAATTGAGCTTTAGTGCAATAGAAAAAGTTATGGATCTTTGCTTTCTGAGCCTATTGATGTAAAGAACATAACATTATTGCTGGTGAATTATTGCGCCGACATGAAAAACAACGTTTTTGAGATTTTTTTTGTTCATATCTTACTGTTTTTATAGTGTAGTTGGCAGACAAACACTTTAGTCAGAAACCATAGTGCCTTGCGCACATTTTGTTGATAGCTCTATTTTTCGTGTTTAAGTATCAAAAGAAAAACAAAAATTGCCAAAGGAGCAATTTTTATAAGTAATGCCTTTTAGTTAAAAGGTCGTTTTGGTCAAATTTTACAAATCGCTTTTTTAGTCCAAATCAACTCCAAAGGCACCGTGTATACTATTGCTAAACACTTTTTGTAGGTATCTAAAGTATTTATGCACACATAAATAGGCTTTATACTGCCTTTATATGTTTGCAAAAAAAAAAGAAAAAGATTTGTATAGATAGTCGTCTTTCTTTTATATATATATATATATATATATACTGCCAAAGCGTTTATTTGCCTAGAGCCTTTGTTAGATAAATAAGATATGTACGATCAAGTAGTTTGTTTGGATAGAATGCCTTGATAACTTTATTGGAAAATTTTATGATGCATTGAATCTGGTTCAAATGACTATCCGTTATCATACATTCACAGCTCTGATTTGATTATTTAATTATATATAGTTAAGATACATCCGGCACAAAAGCTACAATGCTATTTGCATGATTTGATGAAATTACTTCAATGGGCAAATGTCTGGCAACAAATGATTTACGCCTAATTATGCAGTGATTGTCTTATTGGTAAGATGTCTTGAAGTAAATAGAAAATCTTAGATATCAACTCGTCAATCATACTGAGCTAATTGGGGATTGATTGACACACCTAATGCAGATCCTTGTATAGCAGTAAGCAGTGAATTATATGGACCAATTCTACTATTTATAGAATAAAGATCCTTGAAGATCATGCTGAACCCTGACACAAGCAATTATCTATAAATATGAATCTATTGTTAACTCAATAAACTGCATTTTTTGACTGATCGTAGTTTTCTCACTCTTAGTTTGATATTGATAAATTAGTAAGGAATAGCATGGATGGGCAGAGAACAATAACTTTTTCAACTTTTTTCTTTTCTTGATTTAATTTAATTCTTTTAAAATTACAGGCGCTACAGCGTAAGCGATCAAAAGTGGAAGAATTCTTTACTCATTGAAAAAAAATCTTGGCCAAATCTTCACTCAAATATAGAATAACTTGTCAGAATCACAATAATGATAGAAAGGCTAAGTAATTTCAATTAGGATAAGACTCGAAATTTTATTAAAGAATTATTTAGGTATTTATATACTTTACAATCTAAGACACAGATCAGAATGTATATGTAATAGCTATAAGATAACTATAAAAACGATCTAATACCTGAGAACTTGTATCAGAAATGATACAAAAAGGTTCAAAGACAACCTGGTTGAGAATCAGGTTCTCATAGGATTTCCGGACATTCCATTGACCTATGATAACTATGAGCACAAGCTTCAAACGGCTTGTAACGGCAGGTAAAAAGGCTTTAAAAGCGATGATCTTGTGGAGGGAGGGAGGGAGGGGTGAAGTATACCAAAGGGTAGTAATAATTGAGTATTTCTACCCAAACACTCCACTTGGTAGAGCAGTGGAATATGAAATGGTCATAAGATTCCAGTCATGATTTGCATAAACGACAGACAGGAGTATCTGTACTTTGACTATTATATCCATTGGAATTTGTGTATGTATTGAAAAAGTGCTCAACTAATGCGGTTTATATATCTGCATCCCAAGCCTGTGTTTCAGCACTTTAAAAGGGGAGGAGGTCCAAATAATATTATTTTAAAAAAATATATTTTTGATTTGATTGTATGCAACAATAATCAAATGTTATGTTATTTAAAGAAACAGCTTGTTGTCTGTGCTACCGATATATCAGTCTAGCCTAGAATCTTATCATTGATCACTATTTCAATCAATGCACTACAAAAAAGAAGCCTAATAATATTGTGGGGTTTACGAGTCTAATATACCATATTTCAACATTTAAAAAGACCACAGAAAACTAAGAATCTTTTTAGCACTTGTAGCTCACACATAAGTATATCGACTCCTTTACTACTCGATATACAAACTTGATTTAAGACCATTGATTGACTTGACTAGCATTATTGAAATATACTCCACATTTCAATGTCCTGCTTTCTACCATTAAAAGTCAACAAGTCATGCTATGAAACGCGTGTCCGAATATAAACTTTTTTTTTCTCTCTGAACAAAATGATACCAAATACACCCATGAAGCGAAAGTCAAGTACACATGCCTTGTCCCCACCTCCTTCGAAAAGATCGCCTATGCATTCATTTTCTCCTCCTTATATGGCCACAAGTCCACCTCACTCTCAACCACAATATGGTCGCCCTTTAACCACAGCAGCAGCAGCAGCAGCAGCTATCAAACGAAGCAACAATCCGACCAACCTGCCACCCCAACAGCCCACTTACAGCAGAAGGCAAAGCAATAGCACTGCTCCTCCTTCCCGTCAAGGATCTGTCGAGACAGATCGTGAAGGCAGTACGATGATAGATGACGAACCCAACAAATCAGAAGAGAAAGATGCAAAGGATACAGCCAAAGACGCAGAAGCAGAAGCAGAAGATGATGAAAAAGAAGATCTAATTGTAGATATGGATGCGCATATGGCATTACAAATGGAAAAGGCAAAAGAAGATATGAAGACACTATTGGAAAACTTCTCAGAGGATCAACTTCAACGGTATGAAGGATACCGTCGATCTGCTTTAAATCGAACCAATGTGAAGAGAGTAAGACATAGTTGCCAGCTTCATAGATATTAACTTTTCTTAGTTGGTCAGTCAGGTACTAAACCAGCAATGCTCCCAAACAATGGCATTTGTTGTTGCAGGTTTCTCCAAAGTGTATGTAGGTGAAATTGTTGAAAAAGGTAACATTTTCATCTAGAAGAAATAAGTTTAAACAATGAATTGATAGCCAAAGAAATCATGGAGGAATGGGGTGATGATGGGGCTATTCGACCAGAACATTTGCGTGAAGCACACCGAAGATATAACAAAAATCGAGTCACTTGCTCTTCTTTAGGAAGAAAACTGTAATATGATGTGTGTCACAAAAAAGAGAGGTCTATAAAAGGAGATTTACAAACAACGGTTTGCTTTGGTATTGTTGTTGTTGTTCGTTTGCTATTTTGGCCATTATTTAAGGTTTTCTTTTCTTCTTCTTTATTTCTTTTTCTTTTATTCTGAGCATTTCTCTCTCTTTCTCTTTTTTAAAAATCATTGTTAAAGCATAAAATAAACAATTATAACCCTAATCATAATAAAATGTATTCTGGTCCCATGCTACCACCACCACCTAAATGTTGTGGTTGTTTACCACTAAGACTAGGTTGTAGTATGATATGTTTAATATGGGCGGTAAATATAGAATGGTCTTTTCAAAGTGTAATTGATATTAATTGCTCATTTTTAGGGGTTCTCAATGTATATGGCAGTGCTGTCTTTTCAGAATTCAAGCTGTAAGAAAAAAAAAAGAAAGAATAAGGAAATAGAACTAACTGTTTAATCTAGTATTTTACTCGTATATGCCATCAGCACCGACCACCGTATTTGGCGTGGCTAATCTGATTTTATCTTTGGTTTCTATTGGCGGCATTGTTGTCTTGATTACCGTAAGTAGTGTAATGTCATGAAGGAAGCTCATTGTATATTAGAATTTTGGTCCTTATGTCCATACACTATCGCATGCTATCTTTGTATCTGTCTTTATTGTACTTGTCGACACATTTGTTAACGTTATTTTATTTATTACAAGTAAAGCAGATTATTATAATTGGTGTATCAATACTTCTTCAAACGCAATCAGACAAAACCTAAACACTACCACAAATGGTAGTATACCCACATTTGATTTTTCAAATGATTATTATAATTGTCACAGTCTATGGGAAGATGAACTCAAGTTTGGCATTATATTTTATATCCTTTTGTTTGCATTTTATGTAAGTCATCATTAGTAAAGCCTGTTGGCTAAAAAGATTTTTGCTAGGCTTATTGGGCCCTGTGTATCTATAGTTACTCGCTTGTTCTTCGAGGTTATGCGGCAGAAATGGACTATCGTTTCGGATCTGCTAATATGCCCATGATGAATTCTGGTGTGGCTTTACCACCCAATGCCATACTCAACACACCTGCTGGGGCTGGGGCTGGACCGTTTCTTCCAAATGACCGCAGTGTGATTGTACTGAATAATGCAAAGCCAAAGTCAAAATCAACCAAGCGAATTGATACATTCTCATTCCGAAAGAAGCAATCTGCTGTTACGCCTCAAGATTCATTGCAAGTGCCTTTTTTTGCAGATCATCAAAAAGATTCACAGTTCACTATTGGGTTTCGGCTAGGTCCCGATGGTAATATCATTGATATCGAGAATGCGTCCTCGCCCACTTTTGTAGATCATAAACAGTTAAAACGTAAACCAGTAAAAGAGGAAGATGGTTATTATTAAGAATAAAATCATGAAGTCATATCTTCTAAAAAGGGGCTCGAGCTTATGCAGGTTTACACAAATTACCTTATTCTATAAATGTTTACAGTTTAGTCTAAAGACATCTAGGTTACAATGAGTCATTGCTTATGTCAATGTACTCAAGTTCTTCACGATAAATCTAGATGCTTTTTTCTTCTTCAATACTCGACATACAACACACTGAAATAAAGACGTGATAGTAGCAAGATGTCTCCCCAAAAAAAAAAAAAAAAAAAAAAAAAAAAAAAAAAAAAAAAAACTATGAAACTCTATTTTCAACTGTCAATTATCAGTGATATTAAGCATAATCAAAGAGCAAAAGTATTCCGGGGTCATATTTACAATGACAGCATATTTACAATGGTCATAAAAGTATGAAAAGAAGTTTGTTTTTAGAATTCAAAAAATGATACTTCAGAAAGTTAAATAAAAAAGAGAAAAACCGTGATGTCTAGATGATAGAAAATTGTAAAAGAGAATAGAGAAGTATCTTATCTAATACTTTTGCTATAGGCTGTTTGTTGTAAATCATCCCTCATAAGGTTGAATGAACTTCTATCACTTTGACATTTTCCATGAACAAATATTTTCTTTCTTTGATTTAGGGAAGTAGGTGCTTTTCGAATAGATTATCAATTCCAAGAAGCAATTCAGTAGTGCATTAATTGTTCATATAGCAGAGACTTTAGGCCAATAGATGCTGCTGCAGTGAAAAGGACAACAATCCATGCACATTTTTATCTTTTTCTTAGATAAATAAAGGCAGTATGAAGCCTGTTTACATCCCTATAAATACTTTAAATGTATAAAAACAATGATTACTGATATAGAGTGTATCTTTGGAGTTGATTTGGACCAAAAAAAGCGACTTGTAAAAAATAACCAAAAATCTCTCAAAATCAAAGGGTGCTACTCATGAAAATCTTCAAGCTGACAACTCTTCAAGCTTCTTTTTGGCGCTACAAGACAGAAAAAAAAATAGAGCTATAGACGAGCTTCAATGCTCAGAATGTGTGTCGGAGACTCTAGTGTTTGATAAATGTGTTTGCTTGCCAATTGTGCTATAAAACCAATGAGATATGAGCAAAAAACCTCGTAAACATTTTTGTCTAATCGCTTTATATTTTAGCAGAGAAACTACTATGCTCTCTATATCAATAGACTCAAAAGACAGGGATTTACAACCTTTGTCACTATACCAAAGCCATAAAACTGCATCTTTATGTAGTTCTCAGCAAAAGCCTGATTTTTTATGCAGCTGAATGTAGAACCAAATTGCTTCTTCTATTTCAATCTCCACAAGCAACTATCACGAATGTCTTTTGTTCATTTACCCCACATTTACCTCACATTTACCTCACATTTACCGCATCATCAATCAACCGTATTTCTACCTTTCCATATTCCTTAGTACTCTAGATAACATACAGTACTCTATAGCTCCATTACTAACAAGCTTTATATGATATCTAGAGCAAAAATGCTCAAAGCACAGCTTAAATGTACCAACCTTTAATGCTCCATTACTCGACGACTAGACTATCAAATCAGTCTGGTTTTTCATTTAAAACATGTTCTTTCGAGTCCAGTAATCGAATGGTACCATTGGTTTGGCAGTTTTGTGAGGTCTCTTTTTTTTTTGACCCAGGAGATCCACGGAGGTCCGTGAAGATGAAAAAAAAATAAAACTCGAACAAGCATTTTTGGAATGACCCCAATATAGGTCTGATCTCACCGAAATCAGACAAGACTGTTTCTAGATACTTCTTGCAAAAAGAAAGCAAATTTACTAAGGTAAAAAAAGGCGAGTTGCTTTTATCGTTGGCTTCAGATTTGTCAATTCATATTATTAGTAATTTTTTTTTTTTTTTTTTTTTTAAATGTGTTTATTGATTGAGCCGCGTACACTAAGAGTAATAGTCAAAGTGAAGAGACGGGTGCAATTAAAATGAAAGTTAATAAAATAAAGCGAAACACACTAGATAAAATAAACTAAACTAAAATAAATTATATAGAAAAAAGCTACAGTATTGAATGGCATTGATCCTCTTCAATAGTCTGACGAACATTGAATCGGATGCTTGCTAATATGGCCGTAGGTACAATGGGGGTCTTGTCAAAGATAAATCTCATATGAGCAAGCCAGATTTGTGAAAGAGTAATTATGAGGATTCTGTATGGTTTGATTCCTTTCCGTTGGCAGTACCAGATGTACGAGAAGTCCAGGGACAGAAGAGCCTCTTGGATATCAGATATTGAAGTGGTAGGCCAAAGAAACTCAAAGATGATTTCCTGCCATACCTTCTCTTTAGTTGGACAATGAAAGAGCATATGGTTAATAGAGTCAGTGGTAGTTAAGCACACCGGACAGAAGGGAGAGTCAAACACGTGAGGCATAATAAAATGTAAGAATCGACGATGAGGAATACATCCCAAGATATACCGGTATGTCACATTACGTTGAATGGTGGTAAGAGACAGAGACCAAAAGAATTTCCATTTCACTTCTGTAATATTTCTCAAGGCCAAAGGAGGAGCCATAGCCGAGAGAACTGACTGACGAAATGTCTTAGCCGATGCCTTGATACTACAAATACCTTGATCATCTTGAAACCGAAACTGGTTGATCAAAG